TGAGTGGGTCTCGGTGGGGGGGACTGAGAGTTCTGGGTGGGGGGTGATGCTTGGTAGGAGGTCTGAATGCATGAGTACTGGGCAGTACCCTGTTCAATGATCTCCCCTGCCCCCTCCCCTCTTCCCCCACCTGCATTTGAGGAGTGATGGGTGCAGGAAGTGAGGGGTGGCAGAGGGAGTTTTCAGAGCTTTTTGCAGCCTGGGGAGAAATCGGTGGGGGGGACTGAGAGTTCTGGGTGGGGGGTGATGCTTGGTAGGAGGTCTGAATGCATGAGTACTGGGCAGTACCCTGTTCAATGATCTCCCCTGCCCCCTCCCCTCTTCCCCCACCTGCATTTGAGGAGTGATGGGTGCAGGAAGTGAGGGGTGGCAGAGGGAGTTTTCAGAGCTTTTTGCAGCCTGGGGAGAAATCTAGAGGTGGATTTAATCCAGACCCACATGCCATGCAGGGGAAGAGGAAAGCCTATCTTCCTCATCCTAGCTGGGATTAGCACTGATCCCAGTGCAGAGTAGGAGCTATCATCCAGGTCTTCCCCAGTCCCAGCTCTGCCCCACAGTCAGGGCCAACCCGAGGGAGGCATGGGGCACAGGGTCTAGGGCAACACCCCACCACCACTACTGTACCAGGTGCAGGGTCCAAGGCAACCTCCTCTGCTGCAGGCCCCATGCTGCCTCTGCCCCATTTCCCAAGTGCTGCCCCTGATTCACCCCACCTTTTTCCCCTTCCTTGAGCAATGCAGCCTGGATTATAGGGGGCCTGGCACATCAGCAGCAGGGGTCGCCCCTGCACTTACCACATGGACAATGGGAGCTGGGGTGGCCTGGCAGCCTGTTCCCCTCTCCCTCACTACACCATGCTGCCCTCCTGGCCCTAGATCCCTCCCATCCATAGGACAGTTGGGGCAGCCGTCCAGCTTTGTCCTCTATCAGGAGGAGCAAATACACACTTAAAACTTATATAGTGAGGCAAGACTGGTTCTGAGGCTCTTGTGTGATTTCGTTATGCATCATAATTGGCTGTGACTCATTGCTGTAAAGTTTTGCATCACTGACTGCTTCTGTCTTCCCCTTGGGCTAGTTAAAGGGGACAATCTATTTGTTATTCAGCAACTTGCATTCCTGGCCCAGCAGTCATGTCTTTGTGCTGAGAAAGAAATGTCCATAGCAATAAAAAGTGTAAATTTGCCAAAAAAATGAGTTTCTCTTCCCTATGTAGCATAGCCCCTCACCCTAACATCAGGGAGATGGCTGAGGACTCCCCCTGCTTTCTGACATGTATATGGCAGAGAGTAGGGAGCCATAGGCAGTGAATGTATCACATTCTCAAACTCTATTAAAGCCACGGGCTATCTCTATGAAATGTATGCAGCCCAAGAGCTATAGACTGAGGAACACTGCATTACACCCCTCATTTGGGTGCAGCTAGTGTCTTCTTGGAGGCTAGAAAAACCAACGTGAACTGCAGTAACTAGTGATGGTAGGGTAGTTCTAGTAATAACCTGAGAGCACAACAACACTTTAAACCCTATGAACAATTTAATGTCTGTATCAAGGATTAACATATTTGGGACTACTTATGGAAAAGAGAGAATAGGAGACTTTTCAACAAATGCGTGTTCATTATAGCATATAAAACACACCAAAGGAGGGGAACAGTCATTTTGGTTTGTTGGCAATGGCTGTTAATTTATAGTAACTTAAAATAGATATTTCAGATTCTTGTAAATAATTTTGATTTTTAAAACTGTATTGGGAATCCTTCATATCTACTTTGTGCCTTGCTGTTTAGGATGCGCAAGTGAATCCTCAGGACTCAAGCGATACTCATTACCCTCTCAATCCAATTAACAAACCTAGACACTCGTGCATAAACACCAGGCTTCATAGGCTCAGCACAGCCAAGACCCCACGAGGTGACACCGTGAACAATGAATCTGTCTTGCTCAGTACATATCAGGGGTCCTCCACTGTCACCCTACAAAGAAGAAGAGAGAGGGTGGCTACTTTAGTGAGAGCACAATATGCAAACAGAAACATGCAGATAGGAGGCACAGAAATGGAAATCTCTTGGCAGGCCAAGTATTTGTCATAAAAAACATCTGAATTGGAGTCAGGGAGGAGCTGCGCTTTCCCTGAGTGCATGGGGATTGACTTTTTCTGCTGTGGTACCAATTAAGGGGTCTGGCGGGGCATGAATATCCCCAGTCAGCCCCCAAGAGTTTTGCTCAATGTTACATAGGCCAAGAAGGCCACTGCCCAGCCACTTTTAAGCAGCAGTCCCATAGCAAACAAGTACTATTGTTGCATTGCTCCAGTTGAGTGGGTGTAACGCCACTGAAATTTGCCTCTCCCTCCCCCCGCCACTCTTCCATCTGGATGGAAGAGTGGGACCGTCAAATGGTGTTGCAACCTGGTGCATAGGTTCCTGTACAGGGGAGTGCAAGGGAGTCCACTGAGAACTGAACTCCTGGCTGCACCGACTCATGCCAGAAAAGCGAGACGCCCCCGATGAGGGAGACCTAGAGTCCCTGCTGGGGAGAGGGATGAGCAGGCACTTGCTGTTTTTGGAAAGCTGCATGTTGTCCACAGTACTTGAGGCAACCCGATGTGAAACGTATCTATCGAATCAGAACCATGCCAAGGGACATTTGGCTGCACAGTTAACCCTGCTCTTCCTCCTGTGAGTTCCTCTCTCCCCCAACCCCACTTCTTTCCTTCGGAACATCCCATCAGTTCTCCTACTTCCTTGGCTCCTCCAGTGGGGTGGCACTTTTACTGCTGCTCTCCCGATGCCTGTGGGAGAAGTGTCTCCTGTGCCTTCTGCCTCCCAATTCCTCCTACACAGTGGGTATGTCTAGACTACATGCCTCCGTCGACGGAGGCATGTAGTCTAGACATACCCACTGTGTAGGAGGAATTGGGAGGCAGAAGGCACAGGAGACACTTCTCCCACAGGCATCGGGAGAGCAGCAGTAAAAGTGCCACCCCACTGGAGGAGCCAAGGAAGTAGGAGAACTGATGGGATGTTCCGAAGGAAAGAAGTGGGGTTGGGGGAGAGAGGAACTCACAGGAGGAAGAGCAGGGTTAACTGTGCAGCCAAATGTCCCTTGGCATGGTTCTGATTCGATAGATACGTTTCACATCGGGTTGCCTCAAGTACTGTGGACAACATGCAGCTTTCCAAAAACAGCAAGTGCCTGCTCATCCCTCTCCCCAGCAGCCCACATGCCATGTGGGAGCTGAGCGGAGAAGCAGAGGGCAGTGAGTGTAGTACATAAGCTGGCCAGGGCCGAGAAAGGAAACTTAGCAGGTAGCCTCTTGTTAATTCAGCTTCAAGAGACCATCACCTTTGAGTGAGTTTGGGGGGAGGAATCAAAGAGTTTAAAAAAAAATGGCAGCTGACCAGAAAAGCAGAAGAGAACACTGGAAAGCTAGGGAGCAAAAGAACAGCACAGATCTGAGCGTTGGGCCAAATTCTAGACATTCAGCTGCCTTTTTTACACACTCTGAAGCCTGATTCAAGTGCCCTGGCCCAAGGGGTGACAGGCACACCATGCAGATTTCTGCACTCTCATGAAATGCAATGAACACGGATGGTGCAGGAGGCTTGCTCAGGCAGGTTTGTATTTGCTTTCAGGCTTCCTTATCAAAGAATCCCTGGCTTTTCAATGAGGAAAACTCCCAGCGTGATCCCTTTCCTCAGTTAGGCTAAGGAGCATTTCCAAAATCTTTTCACTTATTCAAGGCAATTCAAAAACTGGAAACACTTTGGTCCAAATCCTTTGGACTTAAATGTAGAAAAGCTTTTTTTATTAACATTCCTCATTACTATGCCTACCCTTCACAAGGGAAAGGTCTAGGGAATACAGCATGGAGTATATTTCCTTACAGGATCACTGCAGATTTTCATGCTCACTCACTGCTTGGGATGAAGAGGATAATCTAGCTATTATTTATCTCCAGCTCTGGCTGTATCAATCGAAGAAGGGGCAAGGGAGAGGTAGGTTCTGAATGTATTTTCAGCTCTTACACTTCCAAAGGGTATTGAGCCATGAGTTGCGGAGGCTAATACAGTACCCCTAAAGTACAGAGACCCTAGTGTCATTTGTCTTGCTTATATGCTTGAAGCCAGTTGTGATGTCACCATTCTTTTCTTACCTGGCAGCTGTCGGTGCCACCATGAATATTCCCAGCACAGAGCTCATGGTTCTTAACTCTTCCATTCAGAAATTCAGGGCGATTGCACACTTTATTCTCAATCACAGGGAAGCCAGTTTCTTTCAGTTTGCCTTCTCCCCCAGTACCTTTGTGAATAAACAACAAAACAAAGCAAGTATAAATGGCACAGATAAATGAACCCTCCTCCCAACTGCCACAGCAGTATGATCCAATGGGTAGAGTGTTGGCCCGAGAATCAGGAAACCTGGTTTTTGTTCCTGGCTTTGCTACTGACACACTGTGGGTCTGATCAAAGCCAATCAAAGTCAGCGGTGGAGGTGGGGGGAAGGAGGGCTGTGCCCAAGTCTCTGGACTTCATCTATAAAATGGAGATAATACTAATTATTTCCCTTTGTAAAGAGCTTCAGAATAAACACGATGTAACAGACAAGAGCTCAGTATTGACAGAGATTGACAGGATTTCATTTGGGTAAAATAGCAGTATAGTTGATTCTGCAAAAAAGATGAGGAAATGAGCCTGGATTTATTTTAAATCTAGCTAAAGTATATTAACCCTCATGGAGGAAAAATCAGAAAAGGTCAAAACACCCGGAAGCTAGTCTGATGCTGGGATATAACGTTTCAAATACGCATCCTGCAAGATCCCCCTCAAGTCAAAGAAACCCATAGTTGAGAGCTGGAATCCGACTGACGGTTTGCTTGATGCTGTATAAAGACACAGGTTCCAACTACTGCAGAGACTGGGAATGCTGAGTACAGCCTCGCCTCTTGTCTTGGAGAAGATGGGTTTTTAAGAGAAGAATCTTAAAGTGAGAGAGGTGGCCTTGCAAAAAGGTTATGGGAAAGGCATTTCTTATGTAGGGACCAAGATGGAAGAATGTACACAAACAGGAGTGGGAATCAAGTGGGGTATTATCATGATTATTAAATATGAGTATTACGGTAATGGCTATGGCCCAATCAAGAATGGGCCCCATTGTGCTAAGCACTGTATGCTCACTGAGTAACTGACGCTCCCTGAACAGCTTGTGGCCTAAGCACACAGGACAGATTCAAGAGTGGGGAATAGCATCACTGGTGTAGCTGAGCAGAGGATGGGGTTGAAAGAGGAGGCAAAATTCTAGTCAGGCAGGGCAATGTGGCAGATTGTGACAGTGAGGATAAGGAGTCCCCTTCTGAGTGAGGACTACAGGACTGGCAGCTTTCTAAGAAAGTCAGTCAAGGGAATGAACCAAGGCAACATCTTGCAATTTAGACTAGGGGCAAAAGCTAGAATAGTATTCCATCTGACTGCATAGAAACCTAAGCTGGGGCAAGAGGGAGGAGGATAAGGAGGGAATGGGTCTAAGGGTATGTCTACACTACAAAGGTAATTCGAACTAATGTCCGTTAGTTCGAATTACCTTTCATAGGTGCTACACTAGTGCTCCGCTAGTTCGAACTTAATTCGAACTAGCGGAGCGCTTAGTTCGAACTAAGCGCTCCGCTAGTTCGAATTAAGTTCGAACTAGCGGAGCACTAGTGTAGCACCTATGAAAGGTAATTCGAACTAATGTCCGTTAGTTCGAATTACCTTTCATAGGTGCTACACTAGTGCTCCGCTAGTTCGAACTTAATTCGAACTAGCGGAGCGCTTAGTTCGAACTAAGCGCTCCGCTAGTTCGAATTAAGTTCGAACTAGCGGAGCACTAGTGTAGCACCTATGAAAGGTAATTCGAACTAATGTCCGTTAGTTCGAATTACCTTTCATAGGTGCTACACTAGTGCTCCGCTAGTTCGAACTTAATTCGAACTAGCGGAGCGCTTAGTTCGAACTAAGCGCTCCGCTAGTTCGAATTAAGTTCGAACTAGCGGAGCACTAGTGTAGCACCTATGAAAGGTAATTCGAACTAATGTCCGTTAGTTCGAATTACCTTTCATAGGTGCTACACTAGTGCTCCGCTAGTTCGAACTTAATTCGAACTAGCGGAGCGCTTAGTTCGAACTAAGCGCTCCGCTAGTTCGAATTAAGTTCGAACTAGCGGAGCACTAGTGTAGCACCTATGAAAGGTAATTCGAACTAATGTCCGTTAGTTCGAATTACCTTTCATAGGTGCTACACTAGTGCTCCGCTAGTTCGAACTTAATTCGAACTAGCGGAGCGCTTAGTTCGAACTAAGCGCTCCGCTAGTTCGAATTAAGTTCGAACTAGCGGAGCACTAGTGTAGCACCTATGAAAGGTAATTCGAACTAATGTCCGTTAGTTCGAATTACCTTTCATAGGTGCTACACTAGTGCTCCGCTAGTTCGAACTTAATTCGAACTAGCGGAGCGCTTAGTTCGAACTAAGCGCTCCGCTAGTTCGAATTAAGTTCGAACTAGCGGAGCACTAGTGTAGCACCTATGAAAGGTAATTCGAACTAATGTCCGTTAGTTCGAATTACCTTTCATAGGTGCTACACTAGTGCTCCGCTAGTTCGAACTTAATTCGAACTAGCGGAGCGCTTAGTTCGAACTAAGCGCTCCGCTAGTTCGAATTAAGTTCGAACTAGCGGAGCACTAGTGTAGCACCTATGAAAGGTAATTCGAACTAATGTCCGTTAGTTCGAATTACCTTTCATAGGTGCTACACTAGTGCTCCGCTAGTTCGAACTTAATTCGAACTAGCGGAGCGCTTAGTTCGAACTAAGCGCTCCGCTAGTTCGAATTAAGTTCGAACTAGCGGAGCACTAGTGTAGCACCTATGAAAGGTAATTCGAACTAATGTCCGTTAGTTCGAATTACCTTTCATAGGTGCTACACTAGTGCTCCGCTAGTTCGAACTTAATTCGAACTAGCGGAGCGCTTAGTTCGAACTAAGCGCTCCGCTAGTTCGAATTAAGTTCGAACTAGCGGAGCACTAGTGTAGCACCTATGAAAGGTAATTCGAACTAATGTCCGTTAGTTCGAATTACCTTTCATAGGTGCTACACTAGTGCTCCGCTAGTTCGAACTTAATTCGAACTAGCGGAGCGCTTAGTTCGAACTAAGCGCTCCGCTAGTTCGAATTAAGTTCGAACTAGCGGAGCACTAGTGTAGCACCTATGAAAGGTAATTCGAACTAATGTCCGTTAGTTCGAATTAGCTTAGTTCGAATTAACTAATTCAAACTAAGTTAGTTCGAATTAGCGCTGTAGTGTAGACATACCCTGACAGATTGTTAGGCCTGATTCTCTTCTTGCTTTACACTGCTTTTGTACAGTTGTAACTCTATTGACTTCAATGGTGCACTCCTGAGTTATGAGACATGAAGTCATAGAGAGAGGGAGATGGGAAGAACAGCATTGCTCAGCGTTATTTGTTGTATGTTAAATACGTATGCACATTGATTTGGGGTTTTCCAACCACAGGGATTGCATATTTTTAACTGCACTGATTGTGCCTCACCTTTTGTTTCACCCCAGCCAGTCACATAGCATTCTGCTCTGTTTCCTAAAACCACATTTTCTGCCGGCAAACAAGCTGGGATCACTTCATTGTTGATCACTGCGGGACTGAAACAAAACAACATGCAGATCAAGCCCACAGAAGCACGGTCTTTAGTTTCTTTGCCCTTGGGACCATTTATATTCTGCAGGCTCTGGGGGGGTGGGGGGGGGGGGGGGGGCGA